ATCATATTATATCACAATACTTCTATTTGTTAATTGGTATTGCAAGGTGTTTAATGTAACTACTCTCTCTCTCTCTCTCTCTCTTTCCCTAATAACTGAAATTTTAAATAAATAAATAATAAAAATAAATATCGAATCGGCAATGTAGGATAACCGTCGTTGCGCTTAGGCTTAAGAGTCGAAGTGGGTACAATTAGGAGCCTATCATATGTTTTAGGAACGGAACGAGAGGGAGAGCTAGAGACAGTGGAAGGAGAAGGAAGGAGAAGAGAGAGGAGAGGAGAGTGGGAGACCTAGTTACCTTCCGCGTGTTTAGGGCAAGGAAGACGCGAAGTAGTCACGTTCCGAGGATCGTAGCGAGCGGGCGTTCTGTGCAAAGAAGGATGATTCAGTGTGCGGGGAAGAAGAAGCCTTGTGTGGCTTAGGCGTGAAGAAAGAAGAGACCAAAACCTAACATGCGGAGGAGAATATGCAGAGAAACTTTGCTTGCGCCACCAACGCCGTGTCGAGGAAGGCTTGTCATGCTGAACTTAGCCGAAGGAGGAAGCGACGTCGTGCCCTAGCCATGCGAAGGAAGGGAAGAGACAAAACTCTGCATGAGAATGATGAAGCTGAGCCTTGTGTGTAGAGGAAGAGGTGGATGATGGGAGCTGAGCCTTGCATTCTGGACAAAGCTCTCGCTTAGCTGTAGCAGGCAACCAAACTGTTACGTATGGTATGGGTATTTACTTAAGTTATTTAATAAATTTTATGTAAATACATGTGTGTATGAGTTTATTTAATTAATTTTAATAGAAAGTTTAATTGAATCAGGATCAAAGCTATTGAAGTCCCAAATTAGAGGGAGAAAATGTGACACAAACTTCTTGTACAAGGTAAGTGGAAAAATCGTGGGCGTGAAGTGGAGAGCCGAAGCGTAGTGTAACCCTAATTTATGAGTTAAGGTCAATTTTTGTGTTGGAATTGTTTATTGTAATTTTATATACATTAAATTGATATATATATATATATATATATAT